TTTCGTTTGTGCATGGTTTTCCTTTGCGAAAACTAAATCGCTCGCAACCTCTCGCTCGCTCTAAATTCGCGTCTGCATAGTCGCACCCTTACACCCACGAGAAAATTCGATTTAATGCGGGCGAAGCTGTGGTTAGACAGCTAGTAATAAATAGAATAAGTTTTTTTTTACATTTATTACCTTTAAAATACAATTCTAATAATAATGAAAATAACATAAGGTTATTTAATTTTAATGCGACAAGTGTGCACGATTTTCTTTGCACATCTTTGTAAAATCTGGTTGCTTTTTGGCAGTGGCGTAGCGTAGTGGGGACAGCAGGAGCGGCCCGCCCCGGGCGATACTTTTAGGGGGCGGCAAAATTTCGCAATAAATAATATCTTGTAAAAATTTGAACCCATTTTATTTCATATTTTTGTCGCACCTACGTTTCGGACCGATTGAAATAAGCACGGAATTTTTCATTACTTATTCTGTGACGAAACTGAATTTTAGTCTTTTAAATTGAGATACCTAAATAAGGGGGAGGCGAAATTTTCCTCCGCCGCAGGCGGCTGACACCCACGCTACGCCACTGCTTTTCGGTCAGCTTCATTCTCGAGTCATCTTCGAGTCGAAGTCGGTGACGATGTATAGTTTTCATGTTTGCCATGGCCGAAAATCCGCTCTCGCAGAGGTATGTTGCGCAAAATGGTAGTGAATATTTTATTGTCGCTTCGCTGACATCATAAATTATAGCCCGATTTAGAAGCGATATGTCGCAACTGATTATTAAACTCAGTGAAGTCTCATTGTACTCTGCGAGAAGTCGCGTTGTCGCGCGCGAGAAGTAACAGCGACAAAAATTTTCAAAATTAATTTCGCGAAAACAAATTGTGTTAATTGTACAATTTTTGTTTCTTGCGTAAGAATTTCATTTAGGTATTGTCACAAATGCATTTTTTTGATGAAATTTCGAGAATATTTTTAGTTATAAATAAACAAATTTGTGCATTCGACATCATGTTGTAAATTGCCGAATTTTTGATGGTTCACCCATTATTTTTTTGATTGCTTCATCTCATGCATTTAAATTTTAAATCGAC